ATGTGAGAAATAAAAAATATTAATGATAATTTTTGTAACCGAAAATGGAGGGAAAATGTTAGAGGTTTTATTAAATAGGTAAAATTAAATGCTATATGCTAGCAATTATATGTATATAGATAGGTAGTTGTAAACTATAAATAATAACTAGTCTTTTTGCCCGTGCAAATGCACGGGAAGTATAAAAATATATTATTTAAATAAGAATATCATAATTCGTATTCTATATTATTTGATAGTTTTTTGTATAATACATTTTTCGCTTATAATTTTTTTCTTAAAAAATAATTATTCATTCCCTTTTAACTTTGTAACTTGAAACAAAAACTTAATAATACATCATCTCTTCTTTAATTAAAAAAAAATCAAATAATCGTGACAAATGTTAGTAATAAGATTATCATATTGATATGTAAATAATTATTGTGAGATGTAGTTATAAAAGTGCATGTAATTTTTTTTATTATTATTTTTTTTTACATGTACGTGTCCATGAAAGTTGGTTTTTTTGCTTTAAAACGGTTGAGTAATATCGTCGGTTTGGTTCAACAATGAAGTTCGGCTCGAAACAAAAACAATGTCTTCCTTCAAATTCCATTTGCACTGCTTCATGTGAATCTTCTTGATTCAAATGTTAATTTTGTAGCTTTAAGAAAATAAAAATTAAAATATATTATTAACTATATTGGCCAATTTATATACAGCATAGACATATATCATACCAATAAGTAAAACAATATGTATTAAGGAAGGAAGATTTTTATATTGGTTTTGACTTGTTTTGAAAGTTAATCGTAAACATGATAACAAACCTGAATATGAAATATAAGGAATGCATTTATCTTATGGGTGTGTTTGATTCAATGGAGGGGAAAGGAGGGGAGGGATTTTAATGGAGAGAAAGGGAGGGGAGGGGAGGTGATGTAAAATAATTTTACCTTGTTTGGATGGATTATTTAGGAGGGGAAGGGAGGGAAAATGGTAAACCTTGTTTGGTTGAGGAAGGGAAGATAAAACTAAAATGACAATTTTACCCTTAATGAAATAAAAAAAAAAAATTAAAAACAATTGAAAGTAGGGGCTAAGAGGTAATTTTATATCATCACAAACCATTTCCCCTCCAAATCCCTCCAATTTTGGAGGGTAGAAAAAGTGGGGGAGGGGAGGGAAAATCACTTAAAATTTTCCTCTCCCTCCCCTCCTAATTTTTCAACCAAACAAGTGAAAATTAAAATTCTCCCTCTCCTCCCCTCCCCTCCCCTCCAAATCCCTCAAACCAAACAACCCCTATACGACAATTATTAAAAGTGAAACAACCGAAATTCGGTGTATTGAAAACTTCAGTGCTTTTGGTAAACAACCATACAGATAAATTGTTCTAATTTTATTTGGTCAGATATATGATTTTTGTTGTGGATAGAAAAATTAATTATATATAAACTACTTATATTACAAAACTAACATAATGAACAACATGTTAGACTATTATATTCAACTAACTACAAATTGAATGGAAGTATCTTGCATATTATTTATTTCAGATTGAATTTCAAAATTCAATCTATTTTTATCTTTATGCATGTGAAATATTTTTATGCTATATGAATGTGAAATATAATATTATGATGAATGTAATCATATTCAAAATAATATGTGAGAATTAATCATAAATTGATACCTGTGATATATAAAACTTTGTGATCAGTGACTTAATTCTATAAACCTTGTGTTGTGCCTAGAGATCTGTGTATGTGATTTTTTTTTCTGTGATAAATGAAATAAAAAATCCACTTTATATTGAATAATATTTGAAGAAAAAAATTAAATAAAAAAGTTTGTGGTGTGTTGATTTTCACCCCATCACGAAAATGTCCATGTACAATAACTTACCCAAAATTATTGACGTGTGCTGACGGTTTTCAGACTTCCCTAAATTAGAAACTACATAGTGGGACCTTTAAAATGACCTTTCTAAAAAAGGAAAGTGAGTTCCCTAATTATATAGTAAATAGATCACATGATGTTGAAAATCATACGTACTAGTACCAACACCCGTGTATTACACGGGTGCTTGTTAAAAAATTATTATGAAGTTTTAAAATTAATGAGAAAAATTATTTTAAATTTTTATTTACTTTTTTCACAAATTATATTTTATTATGTAGTTTAGAATGACATTTGTTACTTGTGCGAATTATACGTGTTATATTTTAGTAATTTTTATAACATATATCATATAACTACTGAAAATATAATATATAATTGATAAATAATTTTATTTTTTAATTAATATTAAAATCAATTTTATTATTGTTATAAAGATAAATATATTTTTTTTTTATACATACAATACGGAAGTTAAATCGATGTTCATCAAAAGATGATTAATTGATATATTATATATGTAAAACTGATAAAAAAATACAAAAGTTATTAACTGTCCAAATACATTTACAACTCAATGGTTATAATAAAAATAAAAATAAAAAATACAATTAATAAATGTAACATGAGTACATGACCATAAATAATCAACATATTAATGGATAATCCAGAACTAATTATTTTTGGATTAAAAGTAAATTAAATCTATCCAAGCCTAATAACGAAGCATGTAATTTTGCCACATATGATCCCGAAGCATGCAAGCCTGC